GTTTCCTTCTGACAGAGTCAAATATGAGGAAGTAATTCAATTTAATTAAGAGTGTTGATGAGTTAGGTTCTAGTTAATTGAACTGTAATATGCAAATCTACCTTATTGACCCTGCCAGATAAACACCGAGCACCTGGCATGGTTTGGTTGAGCACCTTTATTTGTTTGATTTTGAAAAAGATGTTCCCCTTCTGTAGCATCTTAACATTTTAGATCCCTCAATTCTGCCTGCAAACAGCTTGCTATTGAAACAAAGATTTTCCAGAAAGTTTTAGAAGGCTTTAATTGTTGGAATTAAGAGGACTGATTCAAATGAATCCAAATCAGTTGCAGACAATGGAACAATGAGGCTGGTACCTCATTGTTCCTTGCTTATTTTTTAAATAAAAGAAGAAAAATGGGAGGTTCCAAACTGAGTCACAGGCAGTGGTGAGGATTAAATGAGCAAACATCATGTCTTTGGAGAGACAGACACTAGATGGGAAAGTAGAGAATCTTTAGCAGTTATCCTTTGCAGTTTATTTTCCTTGGTGAGATGTTGTCATAGCATGACATGTGGCAGTCTATCAGGGAAAAGTGATAGAGTCCCTGTCCTTGAGAGGCTGATAATAATGTAAGAGAATAAAGCAAACAAATAGGAAGATGTATTTATAATATCAAAGCAACACTGAAATAACAGTGGAAGAGAATTGTGTGAGTTGAATAATGAGACCAAGTAATAGAAGATAAAGAATCTGTAGGTGGTGCAAATGGCTAACGTGTTTGATTGCTAAACAAAAGTTTGCAGGTTTGACTCTAGCCTAGAAAGGTCTGTGTTTTGAAAAGTCAGCCATTGAAAACCCTATGGAGCACTGTTCTTCTCTGACACACAGTAAGTTTGAGTGTACTCAACAACTGGTGAAAGGAGACTAAAGGGGAACCTTGGAATCCTGTTGGATGATACTAAGCTTCTCGTGATTTATACTATTTCATAGAATCAGATTGGTTGGATGTATCCTTGTTTTGACAGTTAGTAATCTCCCCTGACCCTCACTTTAAAAAAGGTTTCTCAACCTTGAGCACTGCTGACATTTTGGGCCGCATAATTATTTCTTGTGGGGACTGTCTTGTGCCTTGTTGGGTGTTTAGCAGCATCCTGGCCTCTATTCCCTAGATGACAGTAGCAACCTCATCCCCTCCCTCAACTTTCAAAACCCAAAATGTTTCCAGATATCTCTAAATGTCCCCCAGGGGGCAAATTTACCTCTGATTGAGAACCATGGTTTTACAAGAATTCTTTTCAATGTCTTTATGGGTCACTAAGGCGCCAATATCACTGAAGAGATGGTTGTTGTTGTTGTTGTTATGTGCCGTGGAGTCAGTTCTGACTCATAGCGACCCTGTACAGGGTTTCCAAGGCTGTAAATCTTTACGGGAGCAGAACGCCTCATCTTTCTCCTGCAGAACAGCTGGTAGTTTCGAACTGCTGACCTTTTTGGTTCACAGCGCGATTCGTAACCACTACGCTACCAGAGCTCCTTATAGTACTCAAGAAAAGGTCTATTGTCCAACTTTTTCCGCATCCTTCCAGCACTGACAGGCTATGCCACATGAGTAGCAAGGTGGAAAAGCCATCTCAAGCCAGTCTGGGCACATCCTTATGATGCTGCCTGCAACACCACCACTCTCTTTTAAGTGACTCTTTTCTGAGGTAATCTGAATTTTGTCCAGTATCACATAGGAATGTCCAGTATTACATAGGTAGTTGGAGCATTACATAGGAATAATGGTAATCCAAGTATGTTTGTGGAATCTTTACTAAAGATCTGACAATAAGCTAAGAGAAAGTCACATAAATACTTACATGAATTATAAAAGTCTGTAGGACATCATCCTAAAAGAGTACCCCAGAATTTTTATTTTAATACAAATGTAGCTACAAAAGAGGACTGGGAAGTCCATAGTAGGAGGAGGTAAGATGCCAAGAGACGTTTTAAACAAACAAAATTTTGTGGGATAAAAACACTCACTTTCTTCCTCAGTTACAGACTTTTGTGTCATAATAATTCAGATGTGCTATTTATGCCATTATTGGCAGCATGCATACAATTTAAATATTTTAGCTTTCATTATTCAACTGGATCTACATTACTGACCTTCAAGGGCTCCATTCATAAGGGATGAGGCGAGGGAACAATCAGCCACTTCATGCAAAGGCAGGCTAACAGACTGGGTGTCCTCGCACTATGGGACAAACCATGACACAGGGAGGACTTCAGAGCAGCTCTGAACATGGCAGCATTGGAACAGAGAATGATTGGGGGGCACCCTTTTGGGGCAAAGAGAGCCATGACTTTGTGTGTGTGTGTGTGTATGTATGTGTAAAAAAAGAAGATATGCCTGTTTGTTCCATGGGACAATGAAATCTCCATTAAGATTGGTGAGGTGGGGAATTTTGTTTTAGCTCAGCTTCTTTTGTCAGATCTTTAGTAAAGATTCCATAGCACACGGGGAGGAATTTGGGGTAACCAGGTTTCAAGCCAAGATGAGAGCAAGAAGGAATTCTTTCCAAGGATTTTTCCTATTGTCTCCTGGAAAAATAAATATTTATTGAGAAAGTTCAAGTGAAGTCTTTTATAATGGCAGTGCTGTAGACTAAGCCTTTGAAAGAGTACATGTAAAACTATGCTTCAACAGCGAAGGTGATCTAATTAGGGAAAACCAAGAACTCTCAAGATAATTTCCTCTCTGAAATCTAATTGTATTCTCAAGTGGAATAGGAATCCCACTCTGAATTATCCCAGATCCATAGACTGCAGCAAAATGTACAACCAAATTGGATTCTATTTTAAGTAATTAAGTTATTTCCCTTCACAGGATCTATAATTTGCCTTGAACAAATGTGATTTGCCTTAGAAAGATAAGGCATTGCAATTTTTCCTCCAAAATGGATTTTCTGTGCCAGAAACAATTACTGAAAGTAGCCCAAATACTGCCTTCATTATATCCTGGTGATTATCTTGGAGTGCAGTGTTGTTTGCGTTCTAGAGCGAGGTATGTATGACTAGTGGAGTTTAGAAGCTATCTTTAAAGTGGATACTGGAGTTGAGATTTGCTCAAGAACCTGGAGCTTGCACAATGGTAGCAAATAGCTATGAGACATATTACACAAGATCCTCAAATCTTGTGCAAACTATGGGCACCTTGGAGCTTGCTTCAGCGTACCTTTCTTCTGAGCTTAAAAGCGCCAGCCAATATTAACTGTTAGCGGCTTCTCTGAACCCTTTAGGTGGCAGGTATTGTAGAAGATTAATAATAAGTGTCTATTTGCATACAAGATGTTCTAAGATGGTATTTTTGGCATGGCAATTTTCTGAAGAACATACTCACTTTTGACTTTATTTTCAACAACAGTTCAATTGACTTATGGCAAGGTGTTCTGAGGACTTGGGTTATGAGCAAGGACTGGGAATGAGAAATGGAATCAGCTCCTGGAGTGTTTGAGACCTTGACATGTTACTCAAACCTTTGTGTTTCCTAGTCTGTAAAGGGAGTAATGGTGTGTCTGCACACTGACCAGAGTAAGTGACAAAATAAATGTACAATGATCACTGGGCCCAGATTTAGAATATATGATTTACACATGGGAATTGTTGTTGGGTGTTAGGTGCTGTGGAGTCAGTTCTGACTCAGTGATCCTGTATATGGTTTCCAAGGAGTAGCTAGTGAGTTTGAACCACCGACCTTGCAGTTTAAATCGACCTTGGTCCAGAGCATTAACCCACAGCACCACACACATGGGAATACTTACTTGTTAAATGCCGTCAAATATATTCGGATTCATAGTGACCCTGTACAGGATTTCTAAAGCTGGAGCCAAAAACTTCTTTTCCTGATGCGCAGTTGGTGGGTTCAAACCGTTGACCTTGTGATTCATAAGTCCAGTACTTATCCTACAGAGCCACCTACTCCCTAGGAATAGTTAAGTTTAGAATACTGTGTCGTGTATCTGACCTGTTCTATATACATTTTCCTTTCGAAAACCTTTTACAGAAATGGATACTGGTAGGACACTTCTAAACTTCCATTTGAAGGTTAAGGCTTCAGATTCTGAAGCAATTGTTGTAAAGTGCTGTTGAGTCAGTTCCAACTAGTGAACCTGTACAGGTTTCATAACTGCACAGCTCAACCTGACTTTGCAGTCCGGTGGAACCCACAGGGCCACACTAGGACCCCCGAAGTCACATTACCTGGTTTTAAATATGTCTTCGTCACTAGCCCATGACTTTGATCAAGTCACTTAGGCTTTCTGTACCTACTTCCCCACTTACAAAATAATAGAATCATAGATTTGTGATAATGATTAAATAAAATAGAATTAAAATATCTATGACAGTACCTGGCATGCCATAAATGTCTCTACTATTATTTTTATTTTCTGCCAGACATAGAAAATTCAGTAGAAATCAGAACATAAACACCAAGTAAGTTTATCATGTACTTTTTTATTAACAACTTAATACAAAGAATGTACATCGTAGATTCTAAAATCAACCCACGCTTGGAAACTGAAATACGATCATTTGTATACCACTGGAGGCTTTTGGTTATAAGTGCCTTCTTTTACAGCAATATAACATAGTGTAGCCAAACAACAAGAAAAATAAAAAAGCTCCACAGGAATGGAGAGTTTTTTTATGCAAAAGAGGACATTTCTAGTTTAACATGGTTCACTACACACTCTGGAATGTTCAGTTCCCTTTTCTACAGTCCTCTACAACCAGACACACAGCAGCTAAGAATGTGGCCACAGGTCCTGCCTAGACACTCATCAACATGAGACCAAAAAAAAAATCCATATAAATAAGTCAAACTTCACAACAACTAAAAAACACAACACAAAATCGAACAGTCAATAAAAACTGTACAGTATTGGTCAGTCTTTTATAGCTGAAAAAAATGTGTAACTTGAAAAAAGTTCTCTAAAGTTTTTTGTTTTTCTATAGTCTTTGAAATCAGTGTTAGCTGGAATGAAAACTTGAAGATTCAGACTCAGTTGAAACAGAAGAATGTCCACCTCGCTTTCCTTTGGAGAGGATCTTGAGGCTGGATCCTCTGCTTACAGAAGTCAATGCATGCTGGGCAGAGGTTTTAAATTTGGCCCCAAGGAAGGCATAGAGGATGGGATTCAGACAACAATGGAAAAAGGCAAGGGCCTCAGTGATGGAAATCCACTTATGCACAGTGTTCTCAAAATCACAGCCTTGCTTGATGACTTCCAGGAGGATGAAGGAGTCAATGCTGATGCCTACATAGTAGGGTAGCCAGCAGGCAAAGAAAGCCAGGATGAGAATGACTGTGGTCTTGAGAGCTTTGCGCTTTTGGTGGCCCTTGGAGTGTGACAGCTTGGAGATGATAATGCAATAGCAGGACAGGATGACAATCCCTGGCAGGACCAGGCCAACCAAGATATGCTGAAACTGGAACACAACCGTCCACAAGTCACTGGGGTAGAAACGGTCACAAATATATTTCCCTTCTGATTCACTGGCACTAGCGAAGATGAAATCAGGAATAGTCAACAGCAGGGCGGGTATCCAGACGCCAACATAAACTACCTTTTCAGCCAGCAGCTTCCTTGGCTTCTGGCTGCTGGTGGCATGAACGATGGCTAGGTACCGGTCTAGACTGATGAAGGCCAGGATGAGCACACTGCTGTAAAGGTTGACAGTGTAGATGACGTGGACTGCCTGGCACAGGAAATTCCCAAAGTACCAGCCTACCACGGCATCAACAGCCCAGAAGGGAAGTGTGAGGACAAACAGAAGGTCCGCCACGGATAGGTGCAGCCTGTACTTGTCTGTCATGCTTCTTAGTTTCTTCTGGTAACCCATGACAAGGATGACCAATCCATTGCCCACTATGCCAGTCAAGAAAATGATGGAGTAGATGGTGGGCAGAAAGAATCGGTTGAAATGGGCACTTTCTTCCCGGAAACACGGTTCCTTGATGGAGTCATAGTCACCTGAGCCCATGTCTTCTGTCTCGTTGTCTAAGGTGAAGAACTGCAAAAGAGGCAAAGGAAAGGCCATTGACTTTCAAGTGCAGTAGGCAACTTATAAAATGTTCCTGGGATTTTAGAAAACAATTTCTAAAACCCATCTCAGCCCAGCACACTGACACACAGGGTAAGAAATTACTAGAATCTTAAAATCTACCCCCTTTCCCATCTACCTCCCTAGTCACTTTCTTCTCAGTGAACCAATTACAACTTTCTTTGTTTAGGACAAAAAGACGCTCAGATTCTGAGGTTTCAAAGCCACCTCTTTGCTAACTCTTCTGCCCCGCCCACTATGGGGAAGAAGAAGAAGAAGAAGAAAAAAAAAACCGTGGGAGGGCAAAACAAAACAAAACAAAGAGGCCACTCCCAGCGGCGTGAGGGGTGAGGGTAAGGGTAGAATCTAGTGTTCTCCAGAGCTGGGATTAACATTCTATATGAAGATTCTCCAGGAGACAGATGGGGGGATTACTGGGAGGCCCCCCAAACTTAATTTTCCTAAAGCATAAAACGATCCCTCCCACACTAAATACAAACCACTCTGTACTTCAAGTAACATTAAGGAGAATGCCCCCTCTCTTAAAGTAAAGGATCTTGGGGCACTTGGGATACTGGGAGTGGGTGTTTGTTACTAAGTGCCGTCGAGTGGATTCCGACCCATAGCGACCCTGTATAGGGTTTCCAAGGAGCAGCTGGTGAGCTTGAACCGCCAACTTTGCAGGTCAAATGGCTTTGCAGTCTGGCGCATTAACTCACAGCAGTCGCCACACCAGGGAGTAAATAAGTATCAACAGCCCTCCCGCCTGCTCCTGGAGGCTTGGGTCTTCTTTGCACTGTTATACATTTGATTTTTTTTTTTTTTAAAAAAAGCAGGTTGAGAGCGGACGTGCCTATATGTTTATTAGTTGGCGCGTTTGAGACGTTAAGAAGCGCCGCATTTTCTTGGGTGGGTAAGGTCACGGGGTTTGGACCCGTGGTCCTCGCCCCGGGTTTCATTTCCTCACTCTCCCGGGTACCTTCTCGGCGCCACTGACGCAGCTAATTGGGTTGGAGGTCGGCAGCTAAAACGCTGCAGGCGGTGGGCGCGCTGGAGGTCGAGTTTGTCTACGTCCCGAGCGCCTCCGCGCCCACCACGCGCAGGCCTACAGCCCACTCGTAGACACTCCAGGGGTTCGGGCTGCTCACCGAAAGCTCAGTCCCGCAGGATGCTGGGGAGCGATTGGGCGGCTCCACCCGGAGCAACTTTGAATTGCGCGCCGCGGGAGGAAACGAAAAGCCTCACTAGCGAAGGGGTTGGGTTTTCAAAGGCTCCAGGAAACTGCCAACAGTTAAACCGCGCAGTTGTGCTCCGAGGGATCCAAACGGTCTCTCCGAAAGCACCTGCCCATCTGCGCGACGGGGACCAGACAAATCCAGGTGACCTCCCAATGCCTCCCGTCTACGACTCCGTGCGCACCTCCAGGCGCTGCTGTGCGGTGCCTGCTACTACCCCCTTCGATCTCGCCAAGATCCCTACCTTCCGAGCCCTGGGATCTATCCTGAGACCTGGAGGTTAGAGGTGTGCTACGGGTGTCCAGGTCTCCCCCACTTCAATCCCAAGGCGCGCGGGCTGCTCTCAGCCATTTAACAGCTGCTACACCCACTCAGGAGAGCGACGAGGTGGGTCTGCTGGTCTTTCTGACCCTTTGCCACCATGCCCGAAGAATGGCTCACCACCCCAGGCCAAGCAGAGTTTAGCAAACACGCCCAACGTCCAAGCGGTCCCCAAGCGCCTTTGCCTAAAGTTAATCTGGCGGGACAGTCTCCCACGGGGAACTCAGCTCCACCTCTAAACTCAGATAACGTAACTCGCTTCAAGAAAATCCCCTTCTCCGGGAAGACATCTATGTGAGTCTCATAGCAGCGTGAGCGTCTCCGCTGCACTTGTGCACAGAATGTTCCTACGTTTGCAAACAACGTGCAAGTCCAGTGCATGCGCAGGACTCAAGGGGGAGACACAAGCAATCACTGGAACTGTCTTTCCGATAGATCTTTCCTTCTCTACTTTCAGAGATAAAGATTCCAACCATACCCACTCCCGGTGCAGCCATAAGCATGAAAACTCCTTTCGCTGCCCCCTCTTCTAGGAACCCGCACCACCAATAATCGGATCGCTTCTGTTCACATGGAGAAAGGTTGGGTTCCAAGTTTATATATTTGAATACTTTTTTAAAAGAAAGTTGAGCGTGGACTTACATGAATTCCCTCCATGGTAACCAGTTGCTCTTCAAGCTGCGGTCGCTAGCAGAAAAACCCAAATCCTAGAACTCACTTTTCTACCTGCTTGTCTCAGCCAACTGACTGAAGTTTTTGGCTGAAGCTGGACTTTTATAAACACACGCTCCGCGGGCGGCGCATGCGTCACACGGGCCGGTAGATGGGCGGGTAGATGGGCGGGGCGGGGAGAAGGAGGGAGGACGGGGTGGGGAAGAGGGGCTCACACGAAGGAAGGGCGGAGCGGTGAGTATCGAGGTTTCTTTGATGGAGTCGACCTGGGAAGTTCTGGAGTGCCTGCTGCTGGGCTGCGGCACGTCCGAGCTTCCAGGAATGAGAGGCTATCCTGGAGCAGTCCCCGAACTTGGAAAAGCGTAACGAGCCTGGGGGGAGGTGGGAATCGGTAAGCACCATCCTTGTACCTGTGGGTGGAATTCCAGACCTGGGAATTGTACACATGGAGACACAGGCTCATGAGGAGAAGCGACTTGCCTGAGTAACCCCACCAGTAGACGGCAGCGTTGGAAACGGGGTCCAGAGCGTAAGACACCAAGATACTCTTTCATTACATTGCACCCACTGAAAGATATATTAGTAAAGATCCTTTCTTCCGGTCACAACTGTTTACAACAATATGTACACGTTCACAATAATAGCACTAAAGTCAGGTGTAATTGATGGGGAAACACTTTCAGAAGATAGGATTTAGCATAATCCTGGAGGAGGAGAAAAAAAGAGATGATAATAGACAAATAGATTTGCATCCCCGACTGGAATATCATTATTCCAATTTATTCTGATGCACAGTGACTTTATAGAACTGTCTCATAGGGTTTCCTAGGTGGTTACCGTTAAGGAAGCAGATTACCAGGTTTCTTTCCTATAGCTGGTGGTTTGGAACTTCCAACCTGTTGATTAGCTGGAGTGCTTAACCATTGAGCCACTAGGACTCCTTAGGCATGTCAATTGTTAATGGTGCTGGTTATGTGCGGTGGAGTCAGTTCCGACTCATAGCGATCCTGTACGGGATTTCCGAGGCTGTAAATCTTTACGGGAGCAGAAAGCCTCATCTTTCTCTCGCGGAACAGCAGGTAGTTTGGAACTGCTGACCTTGTGGTTTGCAGCACGATTTGTAATAGTAGTAACCAAATCCTGAATAGTAATTTAAAATACTTTTTTAGAAGTGTACTTTACTATAGGAGCTCTGGTAGCATAGTGGTTACGAATCGGGCTGCAAACCTTAAGGGCAGTAGTTCGAAACTACCAGATGCTTCGTGGGATAAAGATGAGGCTTTTTGCTCCTGTAAAGATTTACAGCCTCGGAAACCCTGTACAGGGTCGCTTTGGTCAGAACCGACTTGACAGCACATGACAACAACTTTACTATAAGAGAATTTTAGCGAGTAGTATTTTTCTTCAAGGTGCTCTTTGTTACACGGATGGAAAAGTTTTCAATATATAGGTGTGAATGAGAAAAATGATACACAGTTTATTCTATGCAGCAATAGGAATCGTTGAGACTTTTACTTTTTATTTCCTTGAGATTTACTGAGCACATCATCATTTTACATTCAACAAATCATAAACTTCCTTTCAAACTCTCAATTGCAATGCCCCTCAATGCAATATTACTTAGCCCACTTTCTCCCCATGTTGCTTGTTCCCATTCCTCCTCCTTTCGCCACCCTGCTGAATTTTGTCCTTAGGTCAATGCTGCCCTTTTGATTTTCAAGGGTTGACCATTGTGTGGTGTGGGTGACTCACTAGCGTAGGTTGTTGTCCCCCATTCCATCTATTGAAGTACTTTCAAATCATCACTTATTCATTTTCACAACCCGGTGTTACCATTTCACAGCTGCATGTATTTCACACATTTACTGCGGCCCGACTGCGTGCCAGGTTTTATTGTTGTTGTTGTTAAGTGCCATCGAGTCGGGTCCGACCCATAGCGACCCTGTACAGGGTTTCCGAGGGTGTAAATCTTTACGGGAGTAGAAAGCCTCATCTTTCTCCCGCGGAGCGACTGGTAGTTTCGAACCGCTGACCTTAAGGTTCGCAGCCCGATTCGTAACCACTACGCTACCAGAGCTCCTTACAGCCGCGAACCAGAAGGCACAGCGTGCACCCAGAGGAAACAGGTCCCAGAGACGAAATGTCAGGAATGGTGTAGAAATCCAAGCTGACCTTCAACTCTTCAGATCGCACGTGTGGCGATTTCCCCAACTCTCGGTGAAGGACAAGCGTTAGCACGGGTGAATAGGGCAGTGGGGCGGTGGGAGGCTTGGGTGTCTAAACGTGTGCGTCAGGCACCCAGACAGTGCTTTCCAGCCTCCCGCCACTTCCCGCCGGCGCGCGGCCTGGGTGGGGCCCCGGGCGAGTGAGAGGCGGGGCCGGGAAACGGTGCGACCACAAGCCGAGTGACCGCAGGCCTGATAGCTGGGACCGAGGTATGAGCGTCTGTCTGGGAGGAGCGATGGCTGCGGCCCAAGGAGAGGATTTGTCTAGAGTGGACTCCAATGTCCCTTCCCCATAAGACCGCGCATCCTTTTTCTTTTCCTTCCCTAATGTTTTTTAGTGAAGGTCTTCGTTTACTGGGCACTTTCCACTGATACAGGAAAGTCAAGTCCATACTGTGGTCAGGAGGTGGGATTCTCAGAGACTGCCAATTTAGGACACATAATAATGAACAGGTAACATTAATCATAATATTCATTATGCAGAATTTAAAAAACAAACCTTCTCAAAGCTCTTTTACTTGATTAAATCATTAGAACTTCAGGA